GTGAAGAGGAGCTCATGCTCAGAGTGAGAACTGCTACATATAGTGCTGATCTCCGCTCTATTGTTGGGTGGAAGGGCAAACTAGAGGCCCACTACAACTCTTGTCAAGGACCGCCTATCCAGTTTCACGATGCTCTCGCTGATTGTATGGCCGTATGCCACATCCTTAAGAGCAAAAATGTATCATACGAACAGTTGAAAAAAACAGCAGTTTCAATTGAAAGCATCGTGCAGAAACTTACACATCCTCTTCTGAAAGCTAAATTGGTGACTCCCATTGTGGCAGAAAAGATTGGTGCTTTTACATGTGCAGACTACTTTAATTTATCAGAGAACGAACTCATTAGGTTCTTAAAAACACACGGGGTGCCCAAGAAATCAATAACTGTATGTGTAAAGGAACGCCTTAAATACAAAGATTTATTAAGTTAATAAAATTTTATTTTCAATTCAATTTCAAGCTTTTGCCGAGATTATAGACAGTGGTATGTTATAGAAAATGATAATATTCAATATGTAGTTACCTTTTCAATTTAGTTTACCGAAAATTGTATCGTTGCATTCTACTTGTGTTGTAACTCAAAAATGTAGTCAAAATAAAAACAAACGCGATTTTTGCTTCAACACAAAATGCCCATTTTGGGCATGAGTGTATTGTACGATCTGGCCAAAAACTTTTTGGGAGTAAGGCCCTTATATAATATACCTTCGGTAATCCGTTCATAAATCGGTGGGCACTCGACGTTATAAAATTTACTGAGAGAAAAAATAATTTCAGGCAATAGATGACGTACTGTTGTACCATAAAATACTCTCTTGCTGCTGTATTATATACTCTCTGCAGCATAGGGCTGCATTAGTGTATTGTGCACATCTAATTACAACTCTTATATGGTCACTAATGGAAATACCATTATGTTTAACACGAGACTGTCAGGTGAGGTGTTTGGAGTGCTGACATGCTATCTCGTGACCCTCACATGTCTCATTAGCCATGACTCAAAAGCTCAAAGGAAATATTGTCAACACTTGGCTCACATACAAACTAGGAAAAAGCTATGTTAAGTAATTAATAGCCCAGAGAGCAGTGAATGTGAAGTTTTAATACTTTCAACACTACTATATAACAAATAATTTGAGGTAAGATTAAGTTCCAATGTGTAACTGGTTCTCTCAGGAGACCAGACCTCATATCTTTTGGTTTGCCTTCCTCTAGGAGGGCTCTAATAAACAAATAAATATACACTTAAACTATTCGGTTTTGTGTCTATCACGTTGATTCATACATTACTTGCTTGATTGATTACTGTGCTCGACTATACTGCAGTAGATGTCTCAAACTTGATACAAATCCAACATATATATACCGGATCGAAGCATTTGAGAGTTGAGACCCAACAAAATCCGAAGTTCTATTTGCGGACTGAAATTGTGCGACTATTACTATAAATCTGGATCCCTTAATTTCCCATATCAATTTGCTGAAATCCCGTCCTAAAACTGATCAGTCCCAAAACTGATAACAGCTAAATTTACATGTGGGATATTATTTAGAGTTTATTAGCTTCTTTGGCAAAACACATGTAGTGATCCACACGATCTAGGTCCCGAATCCTATCAAAAATTACAATCATCATACTTCATCTGGAACCAGACGTAACCATACATAACATGACGATTGTGATAATTACTCACTCAAAAGGATTAAAACGCCACTGTCACGATGGACATACATAAGTGTATTTCAAGATATTTCATCGAGTATTTGATTTATTATAAATGTGATTATAATTCAATTTAATTATGAATTAACTGGTGAACATAATATTTCATTCAGGTCAAACAGAGTTACGTCAGAGAATGTATCATGTAAGTTATAAATACTGTTATTTTCACTTCAGTGCACAAGCCTGGTTAGCTCAGTCGGTAGAGCATCAGACTTTTAATCTGAGGGTCACGGGTTCGAGTCCCGTATCAGGCTGCTTGACTTTTGTCAACGGCCTCTCCACAGAAATACCTTATTTATACTTTAAGTTTGATCTATCTGGGGATTCTAAATTGCAGCGAAATCTTAATTGTTTATCTAAGAAACTAAGAACACAACTTTCGGAGCACAAACCAAGTAACGAGAATCTACGAGTGAGATGAAATCTACTGTCCAGTGTCCACAGTTCGTCCTAACAGTCCCTATAGCTATCAGACCAAAGTTACTGCTAGCAACTGATTCCATTACAAATGTAATCAAATAATTTCATGCTTACACAGTTCACAATTGTTTTCTCATAATAAAACAGACGTAATTCTCATCCCTATGTAGTTGATCACAATATCACCTATAAGCGCGATAACGTGTCAATTTTTGGCCGTTTAATTTGTGAAAGTACAGTTGTGGATGGAAAATATTCGTGGTATTGTGAAATTAAGATACAATAGTAAGCAATAGTTGTATTGTCACAAGGAGACTATAAGAATGTTTTGATTCTGTATAAATATTTTAAGTTTTACTGAAGCATATCTCCCACGTGGTGTAGGGGCTAGCATCTGTGGCTTTCACCCACAAGACCCGGGTTCGATTCCCGGCGTGGGAACGTGTTTTCTCTTTTTTTTCTCTACCAAACTGTCAGCTATACTGAACCATTTGCAGGTTAGCAAGTGTTAGAAGGAAGGAACAACCTCCTTCCTGGGGCCTATTTTTCGGCAGGTCTTCTACTAGTCGATAGCTATTGCATCTCTCGCATAGTTTCAGTAACTTGATTCTGTATCAGCTCATTGGATATCTCTAAAAGCCAACATTGATATCTGTAACTTTGGTAATCATTATAAGCCAAAATGTGACGAATTTTGCGTTTTGCAGGAAGAGGTCCAGGGACTGGATAGCCACGAAAGAGCGAATGCACATTCTGATGGTTGCAGTCCCTTGCCTTTACAGTCGGTTAGTTGCTAAGATATATTAATTGATATTTTAAATGTGCTTTTTCCCTAATTTTTAAATAGTTTAGTGTGGGATCTGGGATCAAATGTTTTTTGATAGGAGTATTAATTGTCACATGTTTGTCTGGGAAATAGCGCCCCGCAAACTATGTTTAACTTCTGGGCGCTAAAGACATATGACGTTGAAGTATGACTATTTGCGCGTACGTACCATCTTGTCTACATACATAAGTATAGCTAGCTAGATACGGCCACTGTACTCAGAAGGGCGATTTCAGCGATTTTAATCAGATACTGATCATAATTCATAGGGTTACCCTCGGATTTATCATAGCGCGTCGGAGATAGCTCGGATTTTTACGCCGATTCACGATTGGACTACCCGGTACCCCAGGAAACCGCCGACCAAATCGTTTCGCAGAGCGGCGAATGGAAGAAGGATCTGCCAATTCCAAGAGGCGATAGGATTTGCCCTCGGACCCGATAGGGAATTCGAATCCTATTGGATCCGAGAGCAAATCCGAGAGGAGATACCTAGTATTTGAAATATCGGAACCGATATTATTGAAAGAAGTTAACTTCAGGATCAGATCAGCTTCATTTTAAGTTGATCCAAGGCTAACAATCTTGATATTTTATTATGTCGCCAAATGAGGGTGTGAGTACTGAGTTGGGGGCTATTAGCTATATCGGTAAATGAAGCTAGAAGTGGATGCACATTACCATATCACTATCATTATTTTCCTTAATCTATAAAAGTATAAATCGTTATCAGAATTACGTACATTTTGGATGGGGCCGTTATCAGAATTACGTACATTCTGGATGGGGTCGCTGATTGTTGAACTTTGTACCAGAAGGATCTTTGCGACTTCCGGCTAAATCTCTTCCGAAAGGTTGATGACGTTATTGTCAATGATGATCCTTCATCAAGGTAAATCTCTTCCATATTCTAGATAACAATAATAATACTGAAATTGTATTAATTATTGTTGATTTTGTTTCGTTGTTCACCTGTAACGTATGACAATGTCTAGTGTGTTTTATATTCAGGTGGTTTCGGTTGAGCAAGCAAAATGTCTGATCTTACAGACGAGAGTCGGGAGATTCTATAGATATCAGAGCGGCCGGCGGCGAGATTCTAGAACAAACCCATATTTTAAAGATGAAAGAACTTTATAGATTACAAAGCGAACTCGATCAGATATGTAAACACTAAACAGTTGGATCAGTTTTAACGATATGATACGAATACTATCTTGTTTTCAAGGTCATGTTATCTTTGAGGGAAAATATCTCCTGTTATGTTCAGAAAACGTTCCTTTTTCGCATTATATTTGATAGTTATATGTATAATATTTGAACTTACAGCGGTTTATTATGAGGGATTAAAATATCGTTCAAAAATGAGCTCAGCTGGTATAAACATGATCTTCACGGTTAGTGTTAGTACCCAGTACCGGGTTAGTACCATGCAATCACTCTGAGCTTGATTTAGTTTTGCCCAAGGTTTGTTATTTATAATACTAATAAAATTATTGTGTCATTATTAATGATTAACGACTCATTGAGGTGGCATACTTATCACGTCGCAATTAACTAATTTAAACATTGAGGCTTATAACAGACATATTATACATGTACATATAATAATAGACATTTTGATTCCAAACTAACGGACGCCTTTTAAATATTTAAGTCAAGATGAGTACTGATCGGTGATCCATCGGTTAAATTTTATGTTTGATTTTATTCGGATCATGACTGCAGTAATTTCTATCCCATACCATCAGAATAAAAAACAATGGTTTTATATTATTCCACACGTAATCCTTACCTAATTCAAATGTAATCGTGTAATTTCAAACCGATAGGCAATAACTGGCATTGCAACAAATGAGTGTAACATCTTGTGTACTCCGCAGTTTTAATAATCCTTATCTTACAGCTAATATGAACGACATAGCTGCGCCTCTTCCACTTAGACGTTCAGATATCCCCCTGGAAGAGGCGTTTTTTATAACGGACAAACTCCTTCCTGCGTTGTGATTGGACGAAGCAGCAATGATTATCCAATCGGCGTTAAGAATGATTTGGAGTTATCGAAAATGGCGGGACGCAGCCACTTTACTAAAACTCTCGTTGATTTCGTTCTTGCTCTGTGATAACAAATAACGCACTATGTCGACCGAGGTGATCGCCCCCACTCCTACTGATCTTAATGAATCTAAAGGTTCTGAAAAGACAGCACAAGCAAAGCTCGTGATAAGGTAGAAAACTATTCCTTATCTGATTAGCCCTTAACAAATTAACCGTGCCGCTAAAGGGGATGTGCCGCTAAATGCGGCGTTTCTTTTGACACGTGACAGTGGTTAATAAATATTCGACAAATTCAAATCCGAGTAGCTATGTAACCTTAAACTAGATGAACTTGCAACGCCACCCCATTATATCGGCATCCATAATTACCACTAGCAAATCATTTTAGTCGGGATGAAAGAGTCGATTTTTGAGTTTCTCTGGCACTAAATGTTTAAAAGGATTTCTGAACGGAATATGGTACTTTGGGCTTTTTTCTACGAAACCCGACTTGTCTGCATTTTTGGGTCACTAAAAATTGCTCATAATTGGCCACGCCCTTTTACTATCTCCAACTATCAACTACAGAATAAATCCCTTCAGTTTACTAATTTTTAGACATCTAAATATTCTCACGTTATTCACTTCTACACTCTACAGGGAGGGACATCTACGTGTAGAACAGGTATCTGCAGCCGAACTGAAGACGAACGATGTTGATAGCATCATCAAACTCAACACCAGTAACATCAGCACTGCTTCCGGTTAGTTTCATATCTTACTACCTCCCCTTTTAGGTTGATTTAGAGACGTCTCTTGTATTAATGAAAATATAATTGATTCCACCTTTTATCACTTTATCAGGGCTTTATCCTAACTATAAAAGTATAAAATATTTGATTACCACTCATGCCCTCTTTAGAAACGCAGACAGCCCCAGTACCTCCAGCAGCTCCCCTGGACCTGCTGACCCTGATGGGAGGGTTTGAGGAATGTAGCAGCTGGCTCCTCTCCTACACAGCCTCCACCAACCAGTACTGCAGGAACGAGAACGATGTGTACAACAAGATCAAACGAGAGTTCTCTGTCTTCACTGAGAAGGAGGACGTTTTGAAGGAGCTCAGGGGTATTGCTGATAAGGTTAGAACTTTAATGAGAATATTGATATGACTTTTACTATTTCTGTCGCGACCGCTATTTGATTGCATCTTACTATATATAAAGCGAGACGATATATATGGTTCCGTGCAATTTTACTGACACCACGGCATCAACTTTAACGCGACTTTCCGCAAAAACCGTAAAAGATATAAAACTGAAACTTTTTTGGCTGGGTCAAATGCTTTAATGGCCTACAAATCAGCATGAAAAAATAAAAAATTGGCCAAGAACTAGGAGTTTCAGAGCCCAAAATTTGGACCCCCAAGTGGTGTCAAAAACGCGAGTTAAATAGGTAATAATTATTTTAGTCTCTTGAGTCTTGACACCATTTTAGGGTAATACGGGTTCCTGCTAGTGTAAATAAAGACTAGCGTGATTCATTTTTACATATATATATAATAAAAGTTCATATTTCTCAGATGCCACTGCTGGAGTACGACGAGGAAGGCACTGACAAGATGTACAGAACAGCTCACAGTATCCGTTACCTCATGGACAGTTGTGTCACTCTACACTTCTTCATGAAGGGTCAGATCTTTTTAGCTTTACGAGGTAATAAACTGTTAAAAGAGACCACCATAATCTTTCCAATAAAACAAATCTAGATTCTAATGTGAAATAAACCTGGAAGCCTTTCAAGAAAATGATATCATGTTGTAATTCTCAGGATCTGGTGGGGTAGAAAGAGTTATAAAGGAACACCACAAGTCTTGGTACGAGGACGAATCCTGGGAAGCTCTGAACCTGCCTTACGACTGTTTCCAGCGGATTCTCAAGGGTAAGGTTCACAAGGCAATGAACGGGGCTATTGCTGGGAAATATAGCAACTGGCCGGGAGTCAAGGAGTTCGCTCAGAGACACACGTACGGTGCTAACGGACATCAAATCAAGTTTACTGAACTCTACAGGTAATGTTAGCCTGAGAATTTGAAACATTCAAAATCATAGACTAAGAATTAACGCAAACATTTGTCCGGCATAAATTATGTAAGGTGTACTATACAATTTTATGTTGGACCGTCATTATTTATGACAAGAACATTCTTTATTTCTTTTACTGTTTTTAAAACCTCCTCACGTATTCAGGATGATGAAGAAAGATTTCGCTGCTCCTCACGACATAATAAGACACATGAGAATGGAAGATGTACTGGAGTATGCTATCACTACAGTCCCTGGTCTCAAGCTGGTCGGCCAGAATGAGGAAAGGAAGGTTAGCATTCAACAAAATAGCAGAATCTAATGTGCGGGAATTATTATGTCCGGTTCATATTTGTAAGGTCTTTTTCAAACTGAACTAACATTGACAGCGGGTTGTTAGTAAGGGCATGATCAAATTAGGTACTGAGGGATCGATGGTAGAATAGCTTTTTCATGACCTGTACAGTGCACGTAATACACGTATTTCTGAAATTCCAGACCAGTAATTAAGTAATTCATACAACTGCTTTAACTTTAATAATAATAATTGCTCAATAACGATTTCAGGTAGTAACGGATTCAGATGTGATAGACCTGGTGATGAAACTGAAACATCTCCAGCTATCAGGAGTTAAGAGCATCTCGAAAGAGTTCACCTCATTTCACCCCAGCTGTAGGGACTGGACCTCCTACCATATGACCTATCAGAAGTTAAACCAACACTTCCGGAATGTCTTGAACCCGGGGAATCGAAGGAGGTCTAAGTCTGCTCCTCAGGTACGTCACTGGTTACTATTATGTTTTACTGATTAAAAAGATGTTACTGATATTATGCAGTACTGATGAAAAACTTGATTCGGCAGTCATACTTAAACTATCCAATTTTTAAAGAAAATGTTTGTTCTTTTCAGAATCTGGTATCAAAACTGCATTAAATAACCGCTTATTTCAAAGCCCTAGTTAGTTATACCCGATGCACTATTTAGATTTTTGAAAGCACACCTGTTACTAGGAGGAAACAAAGACGGAGATATCATCTACTGTCCTGGACAGCTCCAACAAGATCCGGCACTCTTATCTAGCTATCGGTATCAACACTGCTGTGGAGAAGAAGTCACGCTCTAGATCTGAGGACGCTGATCGTCATGTAACTTATAATGAGCGAGGGGAACAGTCCAGATCTAGAACTAATTCCGGTTAGTTTTACTGATACTCCGTTATTACTCTAGAACTAAGCAACAGTGTAGAAGGTGTGATTTAGCAGTGTAGTTATCTATGGTGTTCGTGATCAATGAGATGATCAGATAATAATGTTTGTATTTGTATGCGCATTCCTTGTATTTTAACATACCTCCACTAACCCCACAACAACCCCTTAGAACGTGAAGACAACAGTAACTCGGTAGTGTACCTCAACACAGACAAGAGATCTGTAGTTCCTGTAGTAGGGTTACCAGGAACTGGTAAAACTGCTACTTTAGCTACCCTGCTGGGTAGAGCCCACAACAAAAACACTCCCTCTACAGGTGACTTATCTTTCGTTACTATCAGTATGCTTAGTTACTCATTCAGTATGCATTTGTATCCAATTTAAATAGATACACGCTCTGTGAATCTCTAGAAATTGATTTATTCATATTTGACGTGTTAAATGAAGGTTGAAGCTATAACATAATGTACATAATGTACAAAACTTAATATCCTCAGTTTTGATAATAAGTTCCAGTTGTAGCACCACAAACAAATTGCTCGAGTTTACCAGCGGAACTGTCCTGCGCGCCTGTCCCGCTATAAACGGGAAGACTAAAAAACGAACTATTTCGAAAACCTTCATCAAGGAGGACGACAATGCTGGTGAGGAATCAATTAACCTTCAATCAGAAATTGAGACAAATCTTAATGAATTGTTCGTACTCAATGAGTTTTCAGTCCCAAACCTCCGTTTTATTTGAACCATGTTCAGAATTACATGTTTTCAGAGTTCTCGAGTGATGATGAAGAGGCTGTTAAAACTGCAAGCGCGGACAACGAATCCACGGAGTTCGAAAAGGTGGAAGAACCCCGACACTCACCTATTGAAGTGATAGAGAAGCCTGACGCTCCTCTGGAGGAAATCGAGAAACCCTACTCCCCTACTGATAGCGTTGAGAAAGTTGAATCTTTCAACGGAATAGACGGGGAAGCTCTGGAGGATGGGGAGATTGAAGAGGAAGATAAGAAGGTAAAAACAGGCGGCTTCTTCAGCCAAATTTTCGAATCCCTCACTCTCTACTACAATATTTTTAAGGTTCGCGTTCGTCGGGTAAATCCCAATCAATACTAAGAGTGCTTTTTTGTTCTCGGTTTCATTCAAAGAGCTGTGAAAGTATTAGCTATGAACGTGAATTAAATTGGATACATTGCATCTTCAATCTATTTTTCAGGATGTATTAGCTGCCAAGTTCTCGAAAGACGGAAAGGTTGAAGGAAAGGTTGAAGAAAAGAAGCCCAGAAAAGAAAAAAGATCAACGGAGCCTAAGATAGAAGATGAGTTTGAAAAAACTGAGCTTCCTTGGATGGTAAGAATATAATACAAATTAGTTTGAGAATGTATTTACTGAATCAGTTTCCTAGATATTATTTCTTTACGGATTTATTAAATTGATGACCAGAAAGTTTGCAATATTCACATATTACATAATCACATTTTGGCCAATGTTTCGTAGAGATCACTTGAGACTTTGACTAAATGTAACAATTTTCCATCCACCGTTTATATTAGAGTACCACACTTTTATAGCTTACTCTGACTCTCAGGTATACGACAGTGTAAAGGACGTGTTAAACTCGGAGAGTCAAGGCATGATAACAGTTCTACATTACCCCAACTACGAGGACATGGACGCTGAGATCATCTGTGGGGCTCTCGAACAGTTCACCTCCATCTCCAGCAAGTATCCTAAATATCTGATCATAGATAATCAGGACGTCCTCACTCATCCTTGTAACAGCAAGTGAGTCTGAATTCTTGTACACGAAATGTGAAACTGCTCCCACAGTAAGATAGTTAATTTTATTAAAAGTACCATTTTGTGCACTTCTGTAGACTATATTTTCTATTTTGTGCAATACTAAAAATACTGATCTGACCCATGTTGACTAATAAAACCACGTCCCTTGCCAGTACTCTAGATAAGCTGGTAGAAGATCACCGGGAGAACAATATGAGTGTGTGGGTGGCAGGAACAAGTCCTAACTCTCTACCTATCAACCTACTGGACTACTCCACCCTTGCTATCCTTCATCAGTTCACCTCCAAATACTGGTCAGTCTGTTCACTTGGTTTGAACTGCCCTTTTTGGCGGTTTAAGATAAAGAGATAACTGATCACTCACAAGCGATGGTAAATCTAGATAGTAGATATTCAATTTGTTCAAATTCCGTCTTAATCAGTAAGTGAAAATAAGGTATTTCTCCACACAGGTATACGGAGCTAGCGGATCACCTGGCGGTTAACTCAGTGACATACCAACAATGTCAGGGACTCTCTCCTGGGAAGTGCATCATGGTGGCTCCCGGTGCCAACATGAACCATCCTGTACACTCCTCTTCCTACTGTTACCCCTGCACCATTGTTCCACCCAAACCCTTCAAGTAAAGACACCCTAACCATACACTAAGAGGTATCTCGCCCTTCGTAGGGGGCCGACCAGACTTTAAAGGTGCCCAATGGATATATAAATGATTTGCTTTTTAATTTCAAATTTTTGTGATGTATTTGTCAATTTGAGTGCTCTTTAATGATGGTATTTTTCCATATCGAAAATTCGCAAAAACTATTAAAAATCGTGTTTTCTTTCTCAATAACACTGTTTAATGATTTTAAAATATCAGATTTCCGGAGAAAGCGATTAAAATGGAAGGTCAATGACATTAAAATGAAGTCAATATTCCAGCTGTTAAATTTCGAAATAGTAAACTGCCCAATTCATGGATGCGGGCGAGAAATTCAGTCAAAACTGTACAATTTCATCTTCCAAAACTGGAAATGGGAAAATATGATTTTCCAATTTTCTTCAGGATTTTGACTTCCAGTGCCCCAATTTGGTTTCATACCATTATCAATTAACTGACTAATTGGTTTGCGGGCAAAAATTTCATCCAATCTGTCAAATGTGTGTTCAGAAATTTTCATATCTGAAAATGGGACAGAGTTTTGAAAATACAACTTTTCGTTTTGTTAAAATTTCTGCACTGAGCTTCTTTCGACCCGAATCAAACTTCCAGCACCTCAATCGTGTCATTTGGCATCTATAGTTGACTGACTAATTGGTTGCGGGTCAGGAATTCGGCCAAAACTGTAAAATTTCGGCCCTGGAAATTTCATCTTCAAAAACTGAAAATGGGACAGAGTATGGGACAGTATGATTTTCCAATTTTTTTCGAGATTTTGACTTCCAGTACCCTAATTTGGTTTCATACCCTTATAAATTAACTGACTAATTGGTTTGGGGGCAAAAATTTCATCCAATCTGTCAAATGTGTGTTCAGAAATTTTCATATCTGAAAATGGGACAGAGTTTTGAAAATACAACTTTTCGTTTTGTTAAAATTTCTGCACTGAGCTTCTTTCGACCCGAATCAAATTTCCAGCACCTCAATCGTGTCATTTGGCATCTATAGTTGACTGACTAATTGGTTGCAGGTCAGGAATTCGGCCGAAACTGTAAAATGTCGGCCCTGGAAATTTCATCTTCAAAAACTGAAAATGGGACAGAGTATGGGACAGTATGATTTTCCAATTTTTTTCGAGATTTTGACTTCCAGTACCCTAAATTGGTTTCATACCATTATCAATTAACTGACTTATTGGTTTGCGGGCAAAAATTTCATCCAATCTGTCAAATGTGTGTTCAGAAATTTTCATATCTGAAAATGGGACAGAGTTTTGAAAATACAACTTTTCGTTTTGTTAAGATTTCTGCACTGAGCTTCTTTCGACCCCAATCAAACTTCCAGCACCTCAATCGTGTCATTTAGCATCTATAGTTGACTGACTAATTGGTTGCGGATCAGAAATTCGGCCAAAACTGTAAAATTTCGGCCCTGGAAATTTCATCTTCATAAACTGAAAATGGGACAGAGTATGGGACAGTATGATTTTTCCAATTTTTTTCGAGATTTTGACTTCCAGTACCCCAATTTGGTTTCATACCATTACAAATTAACTGACTTATTGGTTTGCGGGCAAAAATTTCATCCAATCTGTCAAATGTGTGTTCAGAAATTTTCATATCTGAAAATGGGACAGAGTTTTGAAAATACAACTTTTCGTATTGATAAGATTTCTGCACTGAGCTTCTTTCGACCCGAATCAAACTTCCAGCACCTCAATCGTGTCATTTGGCATCTATAGTTGACTGACTAATTGGTTGCGGGTCAGAAATTCGGCCAAAACTGTAAAATTTCGGCCCTGGAAATTTCATCTTCAAAAACTGAAAATGGGACAGAGTATGGGACAGTATGATTTTCCAATTTTTTTCGAGATTTTGACTTCCAGTACCCTAAATTGGTTTCATACCATTATAAATTAACTGACTTATTGGTTTGCGGGCAAAAATTTCATCCAATCTGTCAAATGTGTGTTCAGAAATTTTCATATCTGAAAATGGGACAGAGTTTTGAAAATACAACTTTTCGTTTTGTTAAGATTTCTGCACTGAGCTTCTTTCGACCCCAATCAAACTTCCAGCACCTCAATCGTGTCATTTAGCATCTATAGTTGACTGACTAATTGGTTGCAGGTCAGAAATTCGGCCAAAACTGTAAAATTTCGGCCCTGGAAATTTCATCTTCAAAAACTGAAAATGGGACAGAGTATGGGACAGTATGATTTTCCAATTTTTTTTTCGAGATTTTGAATTCCAGTGCCCCAATTTGGTTTCATAGCATTATCAATTTACTGACTAATTGGTTTGCGGGCAAAAATTTCATCCAATCTGTCAAATGTGTGTTCAGAAATTTTCATATCTGAAAATGGGACAGAGTTTTGAAAATACAACTTTTCGTTTTGTTAAGATTTCTGCACTGAGCTTCTTTCGACCCCAATCAAACTTCCAGCACCTCAATCGTGTCATTTGGCATCTATAGTTGACTGACTAATTGGTTGCGGATCAGAAATTCGGCCAAAACTGTAAAATTTCGGCCCTGGAAATTTCATCTTCAAAAACTGAAAATGGGACAGAGTATGGGACAGTATGATTTTCCAATTTTTTTTCGAGATTTTGACTTTTAGTGCCCCAATTTGGTTTCATACCATTATCAATTAACTGACTAATTGGTTTGCGGGCAAAAATTTCATCCAATCTGTCAAATGTGTGTTCAGAAATTTTCATATCTGAAAATGGGACAGACTTTTGAAAATACAACTTTTCGTTTTGTTAAAATGTCTGCACTGAGCTTCTTTCGACCCGAATCAAATTTCCAGCACCTCAATCGTGTCATTTGGCATCTATAGTTGACTGACTAATTGGTTGCAGGTCAGGAATTCGGCCGAAACTGTAAAATGTCGGCCCTGGAAATTTCATCTTCAAAAACTGAAAATGGGACAGAGTATGGGACAGTATGATTTTCCAATTTTTTTCGAGATTTTGACTTCCAGTACCCTAAATTGGTTTCATACCATTATAAATTAACTGACTTATTGGTTTGCGGGCAAAAATTTCATCCAATCTGTCAAATGTGTGTTCAGAAATTTTCATATCTGAAAATGGGACAGAGTTTTGAAAATACAACTTTTCGTTTTGTTAAGATTTCTGCACTGAGCTTCTTTCGACCCCAATCAAACTTCCAGCACCTCAATCGTGTCATTTGGCATCTATAGTTGACTGACTAATTGGTTGCGGATCAGAAATTCGGCCAAAACTGTAAAATTTCGGCCCTGGAAATTTCATCTTCAAAAACTGAAAATGGGACAGAGTATGGGACAGTATGATTTTCCAATTTTTTTCGAGATTTTGACTTCCAGTACCCTAAATTGGTTTCATACCATTATCAATTAACTGACTAATTGGTTGCGGGCAAAAATTTCATCCAATCTGTCAAATGTGTGTTCAGAAATTTTCATATCTGAAAATGGGACAGAGTTTTGAAAATACAACTTTTCGTTTTGTTAAGATTTCTGCACTGAGCTTCTTTCGACCCCAATCAAACTTCCAGCACCTCAATCGTGTCATTTGGCATCTATAGTTGACTGACTAATTGGTTGCGGGTCAGAAATTCGGCCAAAACTGTAAAATTTCGGCCCTGGAAATTTCATCTTCAAAAACTGAAAATGGGACAGAGTATGGGACAGTATGATTTTCCAATTTTTTTTTCGAGATTTTGACTTTTAGTGCCCCAATTTGGTTTCATACCATTATCAATTAACTGACTAATTGGTTTGCGGGCAAAAATTTCATCCAATCTGTCAAATGTGTGTTCAGAAATTTTCATATCTGAAAATGGGACAGAGTTTTGAAAATACAACTTTTCGTTTTGTTAAGATTTCTGCACTGAGCTTCTTTCGACCCGAATCAAACTTCCAGCACCTCAATCGTGTCATTTGGCATCTATAGTTGACTGACTAATTGGTTGCAGGTCAGGAATTCGGCCGAAACTGTAAAATGTCGGCCCTGGAAATTTCATCTTCAAAAACTGAAAATGGGACAGAGTATGGGACAGTATGATTTTCCAATTTTTTTCGAGATTTTGACTTCCAGTACCCTAAATTGGTTTCATACCATTATAAATTAACTGACTTATTGGTTTGCGGGCAAAAATTTCATCCAATCTGTCAAATGTGTGTTCAGAAATTTTCATATCTGAAAATGGGACAGAGTTTTGAAAATACAACTTTTCGTTTTGTTAAGATTTCTGCACTGAGCTTCTTTCGACCCCAATCAAACTTCCAGCACCTCAATCGTGTCATTTGGCATCTATAGTTGACTGACTAATTGGTTGCGGGTCAGAAATTCGGCCAAAACTGTAAAATTTCGGCCCTGGAAATTTCATCTTCAAAAACTGAAAATGGGACAGAGTATGGGACAGTATGATTTTCCAATTTTTTTTCGAGATTTTGACTTTTAGTGCCCCAATTTGGTTTCATACCATTATCAATTAACTGACTTATTGGTTTGCGGGCAAAAATTTCATCCAATCTGTCAAATGTGTGTTCAGAAATTTTCATATCTGAAAATGGGACAGAGTTTTGAAAATACAACTTTTCGTTTTGTTAAGATTTCTGCACTGAGCTTCTTTCGACCCCAATCAAACTTCCAGCACCTCGATCGTGTCATTTGGCATCTATAGTTGACTGACTAATTGGTTGCGGGTCAGGAATTCGGCCAAAACTGTAAAATTTCGGCCCTGGAAATTTCATCTTCAAAAACTGAAAATGGGACAGAGTATGGGACAGTATGATTTTCCAATTTTTTTCGAGATTTTGACTTCCAGTACCCTAAATTGGTTTCATACCATTATAAATTAACTGACTTATTGGTTTGCGGGCAAAAATTTCATCCAATCTGTCAAATGTGTGTTCAGAAATTTTCATATCTGAAAATGGGACAGAGTTTTGAAAATACAACTTTTCGTTTTGTTAAGATTTCTGCACTGAGCTTCTTTCGACCCCAATCAAACTTCCAGCACCTCAATCGTGTCATTTGGCATCTATAGTTGACTGACTAATTGGTTGCGGGTCAGAAATTCGGCCAAAACTGTAAAATTTCGGCCCTGGAAATTTCATCTTCAAAAACTGAAAATGGGACAGAGTATGGGACAGTATGATTTTCCAATTTTTTTTCGAGATTTTGACTTTTAGTGCCCCAATTTGGTTTCATACCATTATCAATTAACTGACTAATTGGTTTGCGGGCAAAAATTTCATCCAATCTGTCAAATGTGTGTTCAGAAATTTTAATATCTGAAAATGGGACA